GTAGGGGGAGACGGCCCAGATCGGGTTTTGTTCAGGGGGCCGGACAAAAGGACGGGGGGGGCCGGGCCCGGCCCGCGGGCCGTAGTTTGGGGACCCCTGCCTAAGGAGAACACTGACTTGCTGAGGAGAGAACCACTAGGGAGAGAACTAAAACATGCAGGATGCCGGCCCTCCAGGACCGACTTTGGACACCCCTGGATTAATCACAAGAAATTCAACTATATGGAAAGATACTAGCCCAACACTGTTAGCATGCAGAAGAACTAGCATAGCTCGGTAACACAGCTTACTCACCAAGATTGCTAGCTTGTGTTGATAGTTGCACAATTAAATCGCTCAACATTAATAATCATAACATGGGGATAAATAACTAAATGTGTTAATATAGATATCTCACTTACCGCTCCTCTGTCGCTGTCAGAAGCCAGGCTGAGGTCTAAACTGTCTGTGCTTCGTCATGGCTACAGCACTGTTGGAATGGGTTGATGTGATTGGATGAAACATAGGTTTCAGCCAATGTGGGAGACCGTTCAAATGATTGACTGAAGCAAGAAATTTATCTGACTGGTTGCTGATCATTTAAAAGAGACATCTGTGTATTGAGATGTCAGGAGAGTCTCAAATTCACACACAAATGCAGCAAAACTCACAGGCCAGAAGTAGCTTGTAAATCAAGATATATTTGTGTTTGCATCAGATTCTTTAAATGTTCCAAATGTTTGAGAAGCAAAGTCTTCTGACATTTTAGCTATGTTTCTAAATAGCATAGATACAATGTGTGTCTACCCATAGACATATATGTGTCTATGGGGAGACACCCATAAAATAGTAGGATGTCTACTCTAAACAACATCAATTTCATTGCCAGTGATAGACATCTTTGCATGTCAGTTTGTAACTCCTTTTCAAATGTGCTAAATATAGATACAAAAACCAACACCCACAGTCTGCAAATCATTCAGACATCATGGTGCCAGTATTTAGGAGCATGATCAGCATATGTGCTGTATATTTATGAAAGCAGACACACTAAATTTATTGTTTGCTATTGTCTCTTTTATTCTTTTGCAATCAATTCAGTTTACTTATATAGTGCCAATTCACAACTGTTGTCTCAAGAACGCTACAGAAAATAAACAATTACATTCAATCATACATTCAGTTGAAACCAGATATTTACATACACTGAATAAAAAGAAAACATACACATTCTTTTCCTGTGATTTTTTCTCTTTTTTTTTGTAACTTTCATTAAATTCAAAAATTTATATACAATTGGATCAAGGATAACTGTCTTTTAAACTGTATGACCTGGGTCAAACCTTTTGGCTTTCCGGTAACACTTTATTTGAAGAGGTTTGCATAAGACTGACATAACAGTTGATCTAAAAATTGCATTGAAAGTCCACTAAAAATGCCAACTTTGCATTAAATTGTCATTATTTACAGAATGACACTTTATGACAACTGTCATAAACATTCATAAAGACTCCTTAATGTTCATGACAGGTGTTATGTTTATGACAGTGTCACGTCAGTCATATGGACACCCCTTCAAATAAAGTGTTACCGGCTTTCCAAGCTTCTCACAATAGTTTGCTGAAGTTTTGGCTCATTCCTCCTGACAGAATTGGCAGGCTTTACTCATATGCATCATTTCAAATCTTGCCACTACTTGTACATAGGACTGAGAACAGCACTTTGCGACGCCCACATCACAAAACATTAACTTTCTCTTTAAGCCTCTTTGTAACTTTCAATACCAACGACCACACCACAAAGATATGAGACTAAAGGTTTATTGCAGAAAAGGGATGATGCAATGGATGAACTACAATAAAGAATCGGTCAGCTGGGGAGAATGCCAGTGGCTTGGGAGATGAAGACTCAGAGTAGGGGTTCAATCTTCAAGAAAATGGGTTTCATATATTTTTCAAAGCCCACACAGGACCAACCCAGATGGAACTTGACAGAAAGAATGATGACTATTGAATGGAAAGAAGGAAATGGGATGAGGCTGATGGGATGAGATGGAAGGATGGCAAGAAGGAAAAGCAAAGAGGGTGAAAGAATGAAGGAGATAAAGTGAAATGGTTGAGTGTAAGGGAAGGTGGGGTTGCAGTAATTTAACAGAATGTGCATTATAGGTGATCTGAGTATAAATAGGCTACTTGGAAAATTAGAGGTGTAGCTTTGGACATAGCACTGCTCCCAAACCTTAAATTAACTTATTTAAGTAAACCAAGATTAATTGAAAATGTTGGCCTAAATATGTTGTAACTTGTTCATGTTCCTGATAGTGAAAAGTTAATAGCAGGCCACAGCAGAGATACAAGCATAGTAATTGAGAGTAAATGCAAACATCATTACAAAACTCTATGTTCTGCAGTTCTGCAATGAAGGTTTTGACTTTCTTAATCTCACTGGTAACAATTGCTGCCAGACATTTTTTTCTAACTTCTGGCTGGAAACTCTAAAATAATTGTTTTGGCTTTTGGCTGCTAATTTAAGTTTTAAAATAAAATAATAGTGTCTACTCGAAGCAATATCAGTTTCATATCTAGTGTGAAAGGTCACATGGCCAGTCCTCTTTACTTCCTGCCTGTAACGCTGGAGGTAAATGTCTGTCACAAACCTAAACAAGAGGAAGTCAGTAAAATATTTAAATAAACAAATATAAATAAAAATATTTGGTAAATATGTACTTTTAAGGGTCTGATACTGATATGTCAAGAAATTGTTATCCCTTCATTCATCTTTTAATCATAAGAAAAGTAAATGTAAGCATGTCAACAATTGTTGCCCCTAGCATTATACATAGACAGCTCTATGCTGTGTCAGTTGTTTGCCTGTTTATTCTATATACTTTGCTGTTCCCACACAGCTTAAACCATCAGTTGTTTTAGATCTTCCAGACCTGAAAGAACACCGAGATGTTGTCTTCTACATCACTGTCATTCCCACAAATAAAATAAAGCCCCTCCCTCCAAACCCTCGCAAAAGCCGACTTTTTCCACAAAGTGTGGCCTATGCACGAATGAGCACTACAAGATTATGCCACGCCTGAAAGTAGCTTAAGGACAGGGTCAAGGTCAGGGAGAATGTCCTCCCAGATGCAGATTTGTTCATCATAACATTTTCACCTGAGTTTGCCTCATTGATTCATAAATATTATATGTTAGGGAGGTCCAAGGATTGAAATGCATGCACTTATTTTGCAGGAAATAAAATTGGGATTAAACAAGTTAATGTTAGATCAAAATAAAAAATAAATCCCAAACTAATTTGAATGTTTCTGGTTCTATGCAGATTGTCTGATTGTACTTTTTTCTGCTCTTCTGCAGCTCCTGTTAACCCACATCTCAGTAAGTATCTGTCCCCAAAAACAAGCATTTGCAGTAACTGTTTCTGTCACTCTCCCCAATCTGCTTTCTGGTCTCTCCTCTCACAGCTGGAACCATTTCGCTCATCAGCCCAGGTCTTATGTTCACAGCAAAGGGAGTTCTGTTTGAAGAAACTGTTTCTTTATATTCAAGAGATCAAATATTACCTGTCTAAACTCCATAATCCCATTAATAATTGTGGAATATTTATCCCTTCTTTTATTAGTAAAATTATCCCACAAAATCAACTGCATCTGTTAATAAGCTTTTTGCATATCCCAAATTGTACCTTTTACCATGTCTGGTGTGTCATTGATGCTTAAGAACCATTCAATGGGTTTCTTCATTACTTGAATACTCGTGTATTTGTCTGACAACAGAGTATTAATAAGTCTGAATTTCTCAGTGACATTACACCCAAAGGCAACTTGTAAAAAAGTTTGTTTTTTTTTACAACTTTTTGGGCAGCGATCTGATAAAACCATTGTTTTGGGTTCACAATTGGTAACAGCTCAGAGTTAAACAGAAAGAGGTCTGTCCTGGAGTAAGAAGTATGGACTGGTGAAAAATATGAATATTACCACTCAGTGAGAGATAATAACCTCCATGGGTCTACTACATTAAATGTTTTCATAAAATTTTGAACAGTTTCTGTAGACTTTAATAGTCTACAGAAACCGTGGATCCAATAACCGTTTAAAATCCCCTCATAATTGTATGGGAATTCATACTTGGTATTGCATAAAACAGGTCAACATATATTGTCATCAGCATTTGTGGCAGAAATACTGAATAGCATCACTAAAACATTCCCCTGTAACAATAATAGATATTATATATATAATAATATTAGACATTTCTTTAGTTATCTCAAAGATCATGTGTTTTTTTATATAATTATTGCTGCCCTCTGCTTTTAGCATTAAAACTTGAATGGAAAACACCTACTGAAGAATATGAACAAGGAACATTGGTTGATTAGAAACAGGTTTCAGGTGTGAGGGGAGAGAGCAGAAGACAGACTGAGGAGAAAGAGGGAGAATATACACATGGGGTGAGAGAGGGTACACAAGGGACTGGGAAATGGATCTAACACTAAAAAATGACTAGACCTAATCAACACAATTAAACCAGAGTAACAAAGAATAGCTAGAGACAAGAAATAAACATAATAAACTAGAATTACTAAGAAAGGATTAAACTAAAGTAAAACAGAAACAAGACTGATCTAATCAAAGAAAGAAACTAAAGAACACAGAATAATAAACAAACCTGAAAACAACCCAGGATCCTAAGATCCCAGTCTTATTTGCGCTGCCATGTTGCTGTCAGGGCTGCACAGTGGCGCAGTTGGTAGAGCTGTTGCCGTGCAGCAAGAAGGTTCTGGGTTCGATTCCCGGCCCCGGTCTTTCTGCATGGAGTTTGCATGTTCTCCCTGTGCATGCGTGGGTTTTCTCCGGGTACTCCGGTTTCCTCCCACAGTCCAAAAAAAACATGACTGTTAGGTTAATTGGTCTGTCTAAATTGCCCCTAGGTGTGTGTGTGTGTGTGTGTGCGCATGGTTGTGTGTCTGTGTTGCCCTGCGACAGACTGGCGACCTGTCCAGGATGTCCCCCGCCTCTCGCCCGGAACGTTAGCTGGAGATCAGCACCAGCACCCCTCGCGACCCCACTGAGGGACAAGGGTGTTCAGAAAATGGATGGATGGATGGATGTTGCTGTCATCACTAGTGTTAGCTGGGGCCAGAGTGGTTTGAATAGATTTTTGAGTGTGTTTTTCTGTCTTTTTTTTTTTTTGCTGCCATTTCTGAGATTCAGCCACTTAGGTAGAATATGACGGAAATGTTTTTGGTATCTGTCATGTTTTGGTACAAAATCACTATGCTAAGTGGAACTGCTCTGACTAACTACTCACGCCACTGACCAGGAAATGCAAGTCAAGTCCGACCATTGTTTATTTATAACAAGATTTCACCTCGTCTCTTTGTCACTGAGAGCACATCACTGTGGTTCGCTCCGGGATTTGCTCACTGAGCCAACTTTTAGTGAAGCAGGTTTGCTAAATGGAGCACCAGTTTGTTCATTTTGTTAATCCCTGTATGTACTGTATATGTGTGTTAGGGACCTGATCTAGTTGATATCTTAAATTTTTAGTGGTGTGCCGATCGATTGGCCACTGACCATAATTGGCCGATTTCCATGAAAAAGTATATGGATCAGTGATTGGCAATCACTATCTTTTTATCACCTGTATCTTATACTTTGCAGCCTGTAGCGTCCACATGTGATATTTGTGATCAGAGCGCTCTCCCGTGTCTTTTGATACCCAATTTGCGCGGATTGATTTTTCACAATACTTAGCGCGATTTTTTTGTCGCGCGTTTTTTGGCGATAACTCCTTAACGGTGCATTTCTACGCGACGGGACCCGCATATTCGTGAGAATGAATGGGGCAGTTTGTGTGTTGTGATGAACAAAATACCTCGGGAGTGAGGCATGTCAAAATGCATAACACAACAAATTTATTATGACATTTAAATAACAAACACTTGATGGAATATGGGTATATCAAGGCTCTCTGCAGGAAAAAGATACATTCAGAGCAGCCAAACTGCAGGTAAAACAGAGGTGGAAGATGCTGCGGTCCCACCAACTGCTGCTATATGCTACTAAGTGATTGCCAATCATTGTCATTTTCATTCTAAGATGTAATATTTCACAGACCTAGCAGCACTTGAGCGCTACCAGACTATAGACTCTCACACTGAACATCTGCTTAAAGCTGCAGTACGAAACATATGTATTACAATTTTGCTATGTCCTAACAATTAGACAGATAATCTGTGAAACAAATGGAGCTCCTCTGCCTCCTCCCTGTATTCTGCAGAGTTATACTGCTCAGTCAGAAACAACCAATCAGTGCCAGGAGGCAAGTTTTATTGCTCTCAGTCCTTTGGACTGAATACTTGGTGCATTGTGCCTGCAAGTCTTTTTGCATGTTTTTTTCTAAATTAGGTGATTTTATATTTCCATTTTTCAGCTCATATAGTACCATTTATAGCTAAATCAAAAAAATTAACAGCCAATCCATGTGATCGGTATCGATGATTGGCAGTAATCAGCCCCTCATGGGTGATTGGAATCGGCAGCAACAATTTTGTTTCTTGAGATCCACTTAAATATTCCTTCTTCCTGATTTTCCAACTTTGTATTCTTTAATTTTGAAGGGGTTATTACTTTTTTCCAGAATTGGTCCTTATAATGTATTTATCTAAATTATTCATCTCTGTTTGATTCTAACTACATTCAATTTGGCCACATTCATAAACAAATTTACAATACTGGGTTTATGTTGTTAAATCAATCATCAACATTGTGAAAAGTCTAGGACTTTAGGAAATGTATGTTAAAAGCTTTATTACACTAATCTTTATTGTAGTGTTTTAGGATCTCAGTTTAACTGTATTGTCATCTTTTCAACTTTTCTTGGCAAGCAAATTATTTCATGATCACTTAAGCTGGCTCCAATATTTGATTTTTTTTTTCCAATTTTAAGCTTAGGGGGCAGTCTACTTTAACATAAGACATGGTTATTTAGATAGTTGCTTTCCATAAAAAATAAGGAACTTTATATTTCCTTAGGTTCAGAAGAAATGTGCAAGGAGGGAATTATTTATCATAACGATGCATCCTGTAAAAACGTCACCTTCCCATGAAAATAACCTAAGATTTTTTTTTCTTACCAAAAGTGATTTTTTGGCAATTAAAAGGGATCACTTTTGGTAAAAAGTGACATTATTTTAGGAAGGTGATAAAAAGCATGTTTATTCATTGCTTAGGATCATATTTGAGTATGTCTGTGTGTGTTTAGGGGAGTTCCACTGTAGTTTTGAGGAGGAGGCGTTATGCTCTTTCTCTCAAGACAAGTCAGATGAGTTTGACTGGATAAGACAGAGTGGCACCAAAGAGGGCACCACATACACACCGAATACAGGACCAAGCTCTGACCACACCGGCTCAAGTCAAGGTACACACGCACACAAGCACAAACACAGACAGATTGATTCTCTACCAAACGGAGAACTTTGTATTGACTTCCATTTATTTTAGTAAGTAATTTATGCCTAACCCCATAAAAATCTTGTCTGTTTGAGACTGGAGTGGGAGATGGTGCCTTAACTTGGTCTATCATGTTGAAGAAGAGCTGAATTGGAAAGAGAAGGTCTTGATTATAGTCTATGTTTCTATCTTTGGCCATGAATGGTGCTACAAATGAACTTCCTCTCGTTGATGACTAGAACACACACCCACCAGTAAATGGAGTGTTCAGTACATCAGAACTTATTCGGGAAATGTGTTTTCATCTCCTCTTTTCCATTAACTCTTGGAAAAGCCAAAAACCAGCTCAAGCAAGCCCTTATTTTTATCTTTTTTTTTTAAATTAAAGAAGCCATTTCAAATTTGGATATTTCCATTACTCTTTTCTAACACAATACTTCAAAATGCGCATAAGAAATGCTGATAGAAACATGGTTTAAAAGTAAAATAAAACATTCCAGTGGTAGGACATCCCTTCTGGTCTCAGTGTCAACGTTGTGGGAAACCGTTTATTGTACATGCAGAATCAAACCAATACCACAGTACAAACCAATACCACCTTATCTCTGATTCATATATATTTTTATTTAATCCTTCACTTTACCCTCCCCAATCCTGTCTTTTTTGTCTTTTTGTTGTTGTGTAATATCGTTGTAAATGTATTTTAATTTAGGTATGCATCATTATTTGAATTTTGCTGTATCCTGAACAGATTTTTTCCTGTCAGTTTTTCCTGTGATATTTTAAAAAAATCCAAAATGAAGTATTATATAAAAAAGTCAAGGAAGGGAAATGTGTGATTCAAGAGATGTGATCAGGAGCTGGATCAGCGGCTTTTGGAAGAGAGACAGAGTTAGATATCCCTTGTCTCTACAAATGGGGTCCAACCGACCCCACACATGTAAAACTTGTACCATTTGGCACAGTCCTCTATGTTTGCCTCAGTCCTCACACGCACAAGGGTTAAGGAAGGTCGTCAGGTAAGTTCTTGAATGAAGTTCTAGATGATCAAGCTTTGGAAGGAGACGTTGGGTTCTGCTAGTACATTGTTCAATGAGGTTAGATGAGCATGGATCAGAGACCAGGGAGGTAATCCAAAAATTAGCCACAAAACAGTAGAACGTTGGAGAGTAGGGAGGTAGGTGGATACTGAGCAGCGTGGACCTAATGCCAAAGATATCCACAGAACAACACACTGGCAGTGTAACAGGAATGATTCAGACCACTTGGACCAGGCGGTAGACCTCAAATACAGGGGACAAATAGGCAAATGTGGGCACAGGTATTGAAGAACATATAACAAAAAAAATCACACAATGACTTAGGGGACTAGAGATTACCAGTGTAGGTTAATTATCAGGTGCTGAATGAACCTACAGCAGCTCTTGATGAGGAATTTCCTGCAGCTGTGGGACAGCAGTTCTCATTGTCAGCAGCAAAGAACCTTGGAGGAACAGGAGGCCTCACACAAACACTCAAACAGCAGAATCCAACAGTGAGGTTTTGTCATTTTGGAGCCCATACAGTGGGTACAGAAAGTATTCAGACCCCTTCCAACTTTTTACTCTTTATTTCATTGTAGCCATTTTCTAAAATCAAAAAAGTTCATATTATTTCTTGTTAACAAATAATTCCCATCTTGAGAGAAAAACCAGAAATGTAGACATTTATGCAAATTTATTAAAAAAGAAAAACTGAAACATTGCATGGTCATAAGTATTCAGACCCTTTGCTGTCACACTCATTTAATTCACATGCTGTCCATTTCTTCTGATCCTCCTTGAGATGGTTCTACTCCCTCATTGGAGTCCAGTTGTGCTCAATTAAACTGACTGGACTTAATTATGATATGCACAAACCTATTTAAGTGAATATACAGATTTGTGCTCTGGCATCCTCACAGGTCACAGTGCATGTCAGAGCAAATGAGAATCATGAGGTCAAAGGAAGTGCCTATGGAGCGCAGTGACAGAATTGTGGCAAGGCACATGCCTGGCCAAGGTTACAAAATAATTTCTGCAGCACTCAACGTTCCTAAGAGCACAGTGGCCTCCATAATCCTTCAATATGAAAGCCCGCTTAGAGTTTGCCAAAAAGCACATGAAAGACTCCCAGACTATGAGAAATACGATTCTCTGCCCCGATGAAACAAAGATTTAACTTTTTGGCATGAATTCTAAGCGGTATGTGTGGTGAAAACCAGGCACTGCTCATCACCTGCCCAATACAATCCCAACAGTGAAATATGCTGGTGGCAGTATCATGCTGTGGTAGGGACAGGATAACTGGTTGCGATAGATAGATAGATAGATAGATAGATAGATAGATAGATAGATAGTGTTAAGGAAGAGATATCTAAATTGGTTAACTTTG